TCTCACACTAATCTTTTAATATTTTAGCTGAATACAACATAGCTTTGACTGTAAATTCTAAAATTGTTTTGTCAAGGTTTTAGGCATAATTGTTGTCATTAGTTGCGTTCTCCACTCCTGCCCCCGCCTTGTGAAGCTACTGTGTTTGGTCACTTACAAAAATAACTAATTGCAAAACTAACATTTTTACAAAAGTACTGGGTTGGCCTACATAATAATATAGTATAAATACATCATCAAGACGTATAAATACACACACATAATATTTATATAATTTAAAACTATCCATCATAAGTAGCAGTTTATCTCTTTGTATAACTCCCTATTGTAGCCGAATGGTTAACGAAGGGCCCCACTGGTAATTTTTACATAGGGGCCCAAAAATCCTTGCTACGCCACTGTTGTAAATTCATTGTTTTTTGGGGTTTAAATTTTAATAATTTATGAATGGTGGAAATCCTAAGAAGGGGTTATTTTTTTTCAAAACGGCCGCCGCTGTCATAATTACCTTGATTTGTCCAACAATTTTTAAAAATTAAAACATATATTCGGATGTATCTTTACAAAGCTCTTGTGAAAATTATTTGATCTCTTTTATTAAAAAATATTTTTTTCCGGAGACTACCCCCTTAGTCTACTCTTAATCATAAGTTGTGATATTTTAACTTATTAATAATGGAGAATAGTTAATAGTTAGTTGAGCCAAAAAGTGTCAATGGTCGTTGATGGATTAACTGACTAATCAAATCAATATAATTATCCAAATATTTATTCTAGTGGAATAGTGGGTGTATAAATTAATAAAAGTTAGTTTTAGTAGCCTAGTTTGAATATCCATTTTCAACTCATGCCTGGTGGCTGAAAAAAGTAGTATCTTTATTGCTACATTTTTAATTTTGTTTTTTATTAAATATGCACGACTTTTGACACTTTTGGAGGCCTATTGTATTTAATGGATAATAACTTACATTAAAAGATTAAAAGTAAACTAAACTATTAGACCTATATATTTAATGAACACATTAAAGCGAGGTACAACAGTCTCTTTTATTTTCCTCAATCGCCCTCCCAGTTCCACATCAACCCGTCTACTTTCACCCAAACCTTCAACTGTCATCCGCATCAGGGTCGTAGCGAGGCGTCTCTGTCCTGGGCTAGTCTCTCCAACTGTCCCCAGGTGTATCCAATCTTTTTGGTGTCTTCTTCCAGGTCAGGTCTCCAGTTCTTTCTTTGTCAGCCTCTCCTCCTCCTGCCTTGTGGATTCCAGGTGAGGGCCTGTCTTGTTATGCTGGAGACAGGCTTCCTGCATGTGTGGCCAATCTATTCCATTTTCTTTGTAGGATTTTTACTTCAACTGGCAGTTGATTTGTCCGTTGCCATAGAACATCGTTTCTGATGGTTTTAGGCCAGCGAATTCCCAGGATTTCTCTGAGGCAAGCGTTTATAAATGATTGTATTTTCTTCTTATTTATAGCAGTTATTCTACATATCTCAGCTCCATAGAGTAAAACCGGTTTTACTAGTGTGTTGAAGATCCGGATTTTGATTCCAATGGTCAAATCTCCAGAACCCCAAACATTTTTTAATCGGTTGAAGACTTCTCTTGCCTTGCCCGTCCTTATTTTTATGTCTGCTTCTGTCCCACCCTGCTTATCAACAATGCTTCCAAGGTAAATCTATCCATTTCTTCTAGGGCTTCTTCTGCCAATGTAAAACATTGACAGAAGAAGCCCTAGAAGAAGTGGATAGGTTGTTGATTAATTGTTTTCCTGGCGTACGTTTTATCCCTGGCCCATTTCACGAGGGTAAGTTTGATAAACATGTCATTTTGTCCCACTATTTTTACGGCTTCGTTTCTCTCTCCCTACACCCTCCCCCACAAACAGGAGCCGGAGATAGACCTCCAAGCTGACCTAGTGGTCGACGGTCGAATTCTAGCACAACCACATGACGCAAATGACATCGAAGTTCTGACGTCACTGTCTGCCGGACAAGCGGTATGGGTTGACGTCACGACCAACAATGTACCGGAAGGTGCTGAAATCCGGCTCACATTCTCCGGTTTCCTAGTGGACTAGCCCCATACGGTAACCATGTGATCAGTTTTACGTCACGCAGGAGAAGATGACGTTTTCAAAAAAAAGCGTGGAAGATCTATAAGTGTCAACGCCTTGAAAGTAAAATTACGTTTTTATTATCGAATTAACATGTGTTTTTAACACGTTTTTCTTAACTCAGCTTCGCGTTTGTGGATGGATTTGTTTGTTGTTAAAATTGACATCGAAAATTAGCCCACTTATGATTGCTCTAGAGATCTGAAATTTGGCATACAGGCTACTTTCGCCTAACAATTTCAGATGCAATAAAAAAAAACTAGCAATTAGAGACCGTAATTAGCTTAATTTAATTACGCCCCAAGGACCATAAAATTGAGAACATGATTTCTAAAGATACCGACAAGACTGGAGGCCTATTGACACAGTTACTTCGGCCCCAATCGATGTGGTCGAGTCGGTAAAGCTCATGGTTGCTAAACCGAAAAGTCTCGAGTTCGAACCCTCGGGCAGATGAGGCTCGTTAGCTGGGGACAGCCACTCCTCTAGGAGAGACAACTCCAAAATTAAACAACTGCTGCCTTGTAGTTTGTTCTTGGTTGGACAAAGGCTATGGAAGCAAATCCAAAAAGAAAAGCAGGCTGAAATCGGAGTCAATGGCCTCAATGGCGCATAACCAGTTGACACGTAACGCTTAATTGTGTTGGAGGCGTGGTCGAGTCGGCAAAAAGCTCATGGTTGATAAATTCGAACAGTCTCAAGTTCAACCACACTGGCAGATAAATCTCGATCCCCTTCAACACTAATAATTAAGAACGAAGAAGAAGAAGAAGAAGTTATTAAACATTATTTTAAAAAAACGGAAATTAATAGTCGGTTAGCCTAGGTGTTTTAAAGATAGTTTTGTTTCAGTTTAATTTATTTTAACTGGCTATATCGTCTGGACAGCTGACGTTATTTCTAAGAATATCAAGGGAACCACTTCATACTCGTTGTCGATTGGGTACTCATTTTTCCGGGTGTAGGACAAATGGCCGACATCCAAAAGGTCGACAAGACATAAGGCCGACACGGACAAAAGGCCGACATGGACAAAAGGCCGACAGCCAAAAGGCCGACAGGACATAAGGCCGACAGGACATAAGGCCGACAGCAATAAGGCCGACAGACCATAAGGTCGACAAACCATGAGGGCCGACAAGCATAAAAAGTACTAATATCGCAAAATATGTGTTCCTTCAAAGCTCCTATCTTGACAACCATCGAAATAAGGCATAACAAATGTGAATATTTCAAGAGAAGAGACGGTGCTAGTTGCTATCCTTATAAGTTGAACCATCGGGTCAAGCGATCAACACCTAAATATTGCGAAATGCTGTCACTGCTGTCTTTCATAGCTCCTTCTATGTAATCGAGGTGAGATAATCATCAAAGAACCAAGTCAAAAGCCGCCGGCATCATCGCCCACATGCAAGAAGGTGGAAGAGACAATGTTAGTTGCGATCCTTATAAGGTGGACAATTGGGTCCATGCGACTGGAGATAGGTGGCGTTACCACCATATTACGCAAAGAAATCAAAGAAACCGAATGAAGTAGAACAATCGCGTGCCTTGACTAGATTACATGTTTAATACAGACACAATTTGAATTATATTTTAGTTTCGTCCATTGCTAATTGCGTGAAAAAAGTGTAAATTATATTCATTGGATTTATTAATTATGTTGTGGTTGTGATACAAGTGTGCCGAAATCGGTACCTTATTTTTTTGTGTGTAAACTTACCCCTGTGATTTCCCTATATATGGAGCAATATATCGGCAACAAATAATTGGTTACATCGTGTGTTCTATTTTATCCTTTTGTATGTACCTAAGAATATTTATTAGAAACTTAAAAAGTCGTATATAATTACATACTTTAGATATTAAACATGCCTGTAATTGTAGTTTGCTATTTATAAAGCGTGTCGGCCTTTTGTCTTGTCAACTTGTCGGCCTTTTGGATGTCGGCCATTTGTCCTGTCGGCTTTTTGTCCATGTCGGCTTTTTGTCCATGTCGGCTTTTTGTCCATGTCGGCCTTTTGTCAATGTCGGCCTTTTGTTCATGTCGGCCTTTTGTTCATGTCGGCTTTTTGTCCATGTCGGCCTTTTGTCAATGTCGGCCTTTTGTTCATGTCGGCCTTTTGTCCATGTCGGCCTTTTGTCCATGTCGGCCTTTTGTCCATGTCGGCCTCTTGTCCGGATCCCCATTTTTCCTGAGCATCATCGGTGGGATTGTCATCCCCATTGGTGGGATCATGTATGGCGGGTACAGGAGGAGGTCTGAGGCATAAAAGATTTAAATCAGGTGTTAAGAATGGAGTTGGATAAAGACATGCAATAATATGTTAAGAATATTCTTGTTTGACTATAGGGTTGACCTCAACCAGTTTGAAAAACTATTTAAAAAATAAAACAAAATACATTTGGCTACATTTTTTTGTGTGTTCCCGGTCTGTCTGGTAGTCTCTTTCTAATTTTTTCCCCTTGATGCTACCTGCTGCTGTTGGCTAGTAATGTTTCCCATCTTTATATAATTAAATTTTAAACAACGGTCGTCAAACAACTTTAACTTGCTTGAGGGATTTCTCCTCATTCTTATAAGTAAATAATTTCATACTTGGTACCTTAAAGTGTTGCCTCTGGCTAATCACAGTGCTAAAGGATGTATTCTTATCTTTTTTTTCATATAATAATCTCAGTTTTATGTTTTCGCTGAAAAAAGCTCCAGTTTTCTATATTATGTTCTTGTAATGTTGTACTTATGTATGGATATTTAAATAAACTAAATTAGAACAACCATGTGTTTCAACATACGTTTTCCATTTGTTTTATTTATAATTATAATGAGTAATGGAAGAGTAAAAAAAATAAAAAAAAAAACATAAAAAGAATTTAGTAGATGAATAAAAACGTGAACATCGCATTTGGCAAGTTAGATACTCAACAGACGTCTATCGCACTTATCAGTTTTTATGTAATACAAAAACGAGACAACCCCAACGATAAGAAATGTTCCTCCAATGATGCTTATGATGAAGGAAAATCCAATGCCGGCCATGTCACTGTAGATTGAACGCCAGACAGCTGCGCATGATACGATGCAAGCATCTATAAGCAAAACAATTAAGTTTCAAAAAAATTATAATCTAGAAAAAAATAATTGATTTAAATATATTTTTCTTTCAATATTATGGATATCACGAAAGTGGTGTTTTGTTACACAACGACAGCATTGCACATTTTGAATTCTGTATTTGAAATCTTTTCAGATTTGTCAAAGCGATTTTGGAAATAGATTATTTCATCTGAAATTGAATTACTTTTCCTCTACTTCTAAATGATTTTGCCTTACAGGCAGTGAGTAATATTCTCACTTAAAAACTACTTTATCTATTAAAATAAATTACAAATCACTAAGGATTACTTTGCCAGCTCAACGGAATGTAAATTACCAAACGCTATTATTACTTCCCTTACGTTATGAAAACTAAAACTACTCTTCATATTTTATGTCATGCAGACGACATTGGGATTTTAGCCTTGTAAAAAATTACATTAAAAGTTAACGGGTGACGTCCCTTGATTGTCATTTAACTAATGTTATCGTGTATTGAAACCAACCGGATACTTTCCCCTGTCTAACAAGTACATTAAGCTTGGCAAATACAATACACATCCTCCCATCTCTATATTTGAGACCGGTTATACTTCCAGGACCCGACAGGAAAATCCGAAATTAATCACTTCCTGTAACTAGCGATTGACAAAGCAGTCGTGTTTGCCAAGAAAAAAAACCCAGTTCATCTCTATTTCAAGGGAGGGGGTAGTAGTGCCCATGAACGACATCAAGCTTATAAAATGAAGAGAATCTTAAGTTGGTTTTTTTTTTTTTTTTTTTTTTCAAATTTAGTTTAATTTTTTTTTACTTTAAAGAATGAAAGCTTGTCAGTTTTCTGTGAATGGGGTGGGGGATGGGGGATCAAGCTATTGATTTTGAAGGTATTGCGAAAGGCTTGTAAAAAAGGTGTGTAACCTAATGCGATAGGGAAGTTTAACTAAACACAAAATCAGTTTTTTAAAGTACGCAGCACAGTGTGAATATGAATATAGCTGTTTAATGTAATGATGTGTTGTGTCTCATTTTATTCTACATATCATTCATGCTGCTGATAATATTTACAATATTAGTCTTCTTTTATCCGACATTTATTTCAGAACTAGTTATAAGCCAATACCCCCTTAAACCACCACCACGATAAAATAAAGCGAAAACAGATTATTTTTTCTTCTAAAACTACTCTGCGAACTTTACAGGATAATCCATGCACCCTAGTAAAGCAAAATATTCACACAAAAATAACCGTTTTCTAAATCCTATTAACATATCGAATATAAAAGCCACTAGTTACCTTATACGTCGATTACAATATGCTACTAGTTACCTTATATGTCGAATATAATATGCTACTAGTTACCTTATATGTCGAATACAATATGCTACTAGTTACGTAACAATTCAAATATAAAAAGCTTCCAGTTACCTTACTGTAAACACGTGCAATTATATAACTTACATTAATGTACGAAGCGCATTATGTAATACTGTGGCTTACATACGGAACAAACGTATACTCGCCTACAACAAGACACTAAACTAGATAAACTAAAACTAGATAAAAACAAAACTTGCATGACATGAAACGCCGACTTGTCAACGAGTAAAATGTATCAACCGATTCATACCAGTCATTCCTACATTACAAGACAAAAACCTTAAGTTATACAACCCATTCATACCAGTCATGCCTACATTAGAAGACAAAAACCCAGAAGTTATACAACTTACACGACACACTACTGGATGCTGTTGATGACAGTGTTAGCACCATTATCCGGGGTTGTTTGGTCTTGCAGTGTATGGCTAAGCCAATCAGTGTTACCGACACAAAACTGAAAAACATACCAGCAAGGGCCAGTACTCGGCATGTCAAGAGGTAATCTGATAATAATAATATATATTAGAAAAGTATAGTCTTTAAAAGAATAACAAGTTAAGTTTAATAATCTTCGTAGTGAGGCAGGGATGTCTATAATAATATAAGAAAAAAAAACGTTGAATAGCAATAGTACATCAACTATACAAACATTATAATATTTAGTAAAACCAATATAAAATACCTCGATCTTAATTTTAATACTATGAACTTTAACCCACACCCTTAACCTAACACATAGCAACCCCTAAAAATAAAATTATGGTTACTTAATCGTTTTGCTTTTTCAAATTTTATCTTTTAAAAAGTATGCCGATATAATTCCATTTAGTGAAGATTTTTGTTTTTCAAAACTATAACATCTCATTACAAGATTTAGTTATTTAAAACACTGTTAATAAAAAACGAACAATGCAGTTTGTACTAATACAGCAGTTTTAGGTGTTCTGTATTCTTATGACTAATCGTGTACATATTGTTACCTGTGCTAAGACGCTCTGGAATGCCGTGGCATACGTACTGTATACAATACCTCCACAGACCCTGGGAGTGGTCACCCTCCACTGACCACTGATGGGATGCCAGACCGATTACGTGGAGGACGGTGCCAAGACACATGAGTAGCAGACTTAAAGCAGGACATTGCATGTTCGCTCAAATTCTGTAACTTCGCGACGTAAACTGACAACATAACACATTTAATAAAACAAAATTATCCTGTAACACTTCAATATTGTTTGGTACAGAAAAAAAAATTGTTCTCTTTTAAATGAACTCATTCTAGATTCTCTTTAAAAAACAAACAAAACAAAACGTGTATAGAACGTTACTGCAGTCACTTTATATCCAATTTCGCTAAAAATATAGAAAATTAATTTTTAACGAGTTTAACTGTTATGATCTTGATGTTTCTTTTTCTAATATTAGCCATGAAATTAATATTCTCGTTACGCATTTTTAGCTAAATTTATTTACAGGTAAAATAAAGCATAAAAATGGTATAAAGCTAAAAAAGTATAGTAAATAGGTGAAATGACACTTTTTATAAACTTACCTTAATGGCGTGTGCAGTATAAAAACGTATTTTCTGCATTAAGGAAATAAAATAACATGCACACGGACGAACTTTTTAGTACATAATTAGATTATTTTCCAGTCAGTGGCGTAGCTACCGTAAATCTAGCGATAGCAAGGCATAGGGGCCAAAGGCACATAGGGGCCCTTTTCCCTCTTTAAAATACTTAAATTTGGAATTTTAATGTTTGTTTTATGTAAATAATGTTAAAAAGAAAAAGAAAATCCAGGTATTTTTTCAACTGGAGAAATAATTAAAAGTTCCAAAAAAGGCCCCGTCCCCTTTTTACTTTCTCGTATATACGAAGTATAGAGAAAGTCTTGTAATCGTGCAAAAAAAAAAAATCGAGATTTTTGCAAATCTCGACGTTTTGCATCTCACTGATACGGAAAAACATAATTTTGCAATCTTGTCCGTATGTCTGTGTGTCTGTGTGTGTGTCTGTGTGTGTGTGTGTCCGTGTGTAAACACGATAACTTGAGTACCGTTACAGCTAGGTTGATGAAATTTCATATATAAGTATTTTATCAAAATCGTAGATCCGTATCAACTTTTGAGCGATTTCCGATAACCGGAAGTGGTACTTTTCCTACTTTGAATTTTTCAAAAGCCTATAACTTGAGTACTATTTCAGATAGATAAATGAAATTTCATACGTAAGTAAAAGATCTAATTCTCTACCTTCTATTAAATTTTGAGTCATTTCCGTTGACTGGAAGTAGTACTTTACGCTACTTCCGATTTCTCAAAAAACTAATGTAAATTTTAAAAGTAATAATAATATTGCGCACTATTATGCGCTTTTTTATTTCGCGTTCACTTGGTGTGCAATTAATTTGTCTACGAGATTTTATTCTATTTTTAAAACTTTAAGTATTTAAATTGGATTAAAAATCATGTCTATAGCCCGAGTTCCCATCCCCTGTTATTTTATATAAGAATATTCGAGAAAGTTTAGGGGAGATCACTCCCGGTTTATTAATGTACAGTCATTGAAATTCTGTGTGGGGGTGGTGGTGGGTGGGGGGGGGGAACAGGGCCCATATGGCGATGCTAATCCTATCAGTTTTTAGTTTCATCCAATCGCCAAGAAAATTTGGGAAGTCGTTAATAATACTCCAGACAGTGTTTTTTTCCCCAGACATTTGTCTGAAAACGTGCCTGAAAGAAACTCTGGCGCTTGTGAAAGTTTCTAGCATTAATTTTTTTTTAATGGCGGCGCCCAGGCAGTAAGTGCTGTTTCCCAGCGGCTATCTTTGCACCTGGGTCCGTTGATTAAAACCTCGGCACAGGTGCATCAGCCGGCGCCCCAGCGGTCGAGTCTTCCGGTGCGCCATGGGCTCCCCCGTGAGCTCTACGGCGCCTATATTCGTTTTAATGAACGCCATTCACTAAAGATAATGAATGCTATTAAAATCGATAACTAAATCGAATAAGGTTTGTCCTCAATCGCATCAGCAATAGTAAAGATTGGGTGCACCGAGATAGCCAGCGGCTACCTGAGTGCAAGGGATCCGTTGTTTGCGCGTTATGCAGGGTACTACTAATTCAAATATTAAACTGCAACATGGGTTGTCTTCTGTGCCCTCGGCTTTCGGATGACACCAAGAACAGGGGCACCCTACGGTGGGCCTTTTCGTTCGATGATTAAACCTAACCAGGGGTAGCTAGTGAAATACTTCACTACAGCGACACCCTTAGGCAGTCGCTGAAAGGCGTTCAACCTCACTATTACGGAGAATGCTTAACGTACACTCAATCCTTTTTAACAGCACGCCCAAGGGCGTCTGACCAGAAATGTGGATAAACCCGCGCCCTGCAACAAAGATCCGAAAAAAAAACCAACAATGGCGTTGTTTATCCTCTAACTATCTCAGTTTTAGAAAAAAAAGGTCACAAGACTACAAATACACAAATGGTAACGCTTTGATGAAACCCTTACAAATTACACTGATATGTGAGTAGTATATTAGGTCACTTTTGGGTCGTTTTTTTGGCGGAGCAGGAGGGTGAAGGCGCAAAGGTTATATAGTAAAATAATCAGGAGCAGGGGAGGGTGAAGGCGCAAAGACATATAGCAAAATACTCCCAGCCTGGCGCATCGAGAGGGTAAGGGTGGTGGAGCAGGATGCGCTGCAGGCGCAAAGACATATAGTAAAATACTACGCCAACTGGCGTTGGCGGAGCAGGAGGAGTGGAGGGTGAAGGTACAATGAGATATAGTAAAATACTCCCAGCCTGGCGCAAAGGGTGGGTGAGGCGTAGGTGGAGGGTGGGTGAGCCTGGCGCAATGAGATATAGTAAAATACTCCCCACCCTAGGGTGGCGGAGCAGGAGGGGTGACGTAATCTCCGTTGACCTTGTGACGTAATTAGTGACCTTGTGACGTAATCATTGACCTAGTTACGTAATTTTAATGAGTTTTTAATGAGTTTTAATGAGTTTTTTAAATTTTAATTAGTTTTTTATAACGAGTTACGTAATTGGATTTTAATTTTGTTTACTTTAAATTTTAATTTTGTAATTTTTATTAACTAGTTACGTAATTTAATTTTTTAATTTTTTAAATTTTTAAAATTTTTAATTTTATTTTATAATTAGTTTAATTATTTTTATTGAGTAGTTACGTAATTGGATTTTAATTTTTTTTAAATTTAATTTTTTTAATTTTAAATTTTTAAAATTTGTTTATTTGTTTACTTTTTGTTTAATTTGTTGGTTTGTTTATTTGCTTGTATGTATGTTTTAAATAAAAGACTAACACTAGCGTGGACTTTGGTCGCAGCTACGCGGCCATCAGTATGATGGTCCACCTAATTAAAGTTGGTCACGCATCAGTGATTTATGCTGTTACTTATCGATCCGCTATCCTTTGTTTTTGTCAAGGACCGGACAAGGGCCGAGTTAATATCGATCGCAGCTAAGAGGGATGGTCGGGGTTGAGGGGCGGGGTGCGGGGTGCGCTAGCGTGTACTAGAACATTCATTAAAGATAACGATCAACCACAGCTGTTACTTATCGATCCGCCCGTGAACCTTCCCGGCGCTGCGCGTTTTTAATGGGAATGTATTGATCGCAGCCGCTGGGCCATCACACCTAATTAAATTTTGTTATGCATCGTGGGTTTATGTGTTGTTTGCCGAAGCGAACACCGTAGGGGTCCGGTGTTTGATAGAAAGAGCTAAGTGGTTAACCGCAAAGCCAGCGTTAAGTGTGGGAACACCTGTTACCACTTTAATTGATTTTTTCCCCCCGGTTGGGTCCCGTGCTTTTCACTAACAGTTATACGGACAGTATCATAGGTTTTTCATCGAGTAAAGAAATAGTATTGATCGACCCGTGTCTAGTCTATGTACCCATTAACCAACTGTGCAACAGCTGTTGCGCGACCACAGCATAGGATCTAGTAATTAACGCGAAGCCATTAAGGACTTTGGTTGTAACTATTCGCTTATAGCGAGGGTCAGCAAAAACAAAATATATTTAAGAGTTGGAATTTTCTTTCAACCACCGTTAAATCACGTTTTGAGACGAAACGAAGTCTCGCTAGGTTCGTGTTTTTTAATGGGCGACAGGGCGACTTGGTGCGTTGGTACGTGAGGTATGCGGGGTAGACATGTTTTTACAAGTCTGGAAAAGTAATTAAGTTTTTTATGACCGTTCCGATTTTCTTTTGATCTGACCACCATTTGACCACCCTGAGCCAGATAAATTTAACAAATGTTCAATACATAGTCGCTTATAGTAACATGGGTGAGGGGTGTAAGCAGGCGGGTGACGGTGTGAACAGGTGATTGAAGGGTGAGCACGTAGGTGAAGGGGTGAGCAGGTCGGTGTTGGGGGGGACAGGAGTAGGAGTAAAGGATATATAGTAAAAGATTCCACCACCTAAGTGAGGTGGATTTTAATTTTAATTTTTTTATTTTTTTTTATTTTTTTTTTCATCATCTGTTAACTTTAAGGTTCTATAACTCTATATATTTAAATACATTTTTTTAATTATTCAATCGAGTTTACTCCCCCTAACGTAAGCACATGTAAAGAGGGATTTCCTATAGATCTGTAATGAATTAGGCCTTTTTGACTATGACTTGTTGCCCAGGTGTTGACATGATACACTTTTTTGAGATACATGTACACACACACACACACACACACACACACACATACACACATGCGCGCGCGCGCGCGAAATTCATACTAGGTCGGTAAAGGCGGAGAGAACTTATAGGTATACATTATCATGGCGACAACAAAGGCGACCCTTATTTTATTTACATGAAAGCGTGTTTTCCAAAAAGTGTCACCATGCCATTGTCATTTTCGCAGCGGGGTTTATTTTAAGTGCACCCCGTGCACGGTTGTTTACATTTTAAAAGAAGTGTCGCGTGTCTTCCCCATAGGTCTTCCCTAATAGAGAAACGAGAGGAAAGACAACTGTTCTAAAATTAGAACAGCCTTGTCTACAGACACGAGTATCGTCCCTTGTGAAAAAATTCGCGTCAGAATCCTTAACTAATCAGTCAATTTCTTTTACAAGTTAAAAAATAATTTAGGAAGACAAGGGTTAACAACATTAGACGCCACCGTTTTTGTTTCCTGTGACAAGGCTCAATACACTTTTGTATTTTATGTCTCAAGTAGAGGGGTGGGATATTTTTTTCTTTGTAAGCGTGTTGTAAACAATGGGTAGAGGAAGCGATTACTAAGTAAGAGGGGAGAGAATGTGACGTGCATCTCGATATTTGAAAACATGGCGATGTTTAACCTCAACCAAAAAAGGCAATGAACCTAGAAGGAAGACGAATTTATCTTAGTCTTGCACCAGATTACCTTCCCATGTTCGCTTTGGTATTACAGTTTTCATCAAACTTCTTTTTTGACTTGAACTTCTTTAATTTAAGAAAGTTTACTTATACATAATACATTACGTCTAATGACAATTTTTTTTATTTTTACCACTCAATGTATTTTGTTTTTCTATATCTTACATTGTCATCTTAATTTTTGATCACCTTA